GTTCTAGCAAAGATGCTCAGCAGTGATTGTCCTGCAGAAGGGGCAGTGGCATGGGGATAGGTTCACAGGAGTGATTGCCCTTTATTGACTGCCTTTCCCAGGTTCACAGTCTGAGCAGCCACACAGGTACCACCCACTCCCTATGGATGTGAGGCAGGCCCAGAGGTGATGGATGCTTCCCACCCCATGCTCGGCTCAGCAATGCGGTGCCTCCCAGCTTGGCTCCGGCACTGATGGACCCCCTGCTGCAGGACCAGCCCTGGTGCTTTCTTGCTGGCCCAGTGTCAGGATGGAAAGCTCTTTTCCCTCTGAACAAAGCAGTGATTATGGGGTGACTGTCACCTCCCGGGGAGCTGTTGCAGAGATGAATGTGTTCCCGTAATCCACAGTGCTTCGTGTCTTGCTGTAGCCGGAGCTTCTCCAGCTTTCCATGTCCAGGTCTGCAGCGTGATGAGTTGGGTCTTTGCATTCCCATGGTGGTTTTGTTTGTTGCCCCTGGGAAGGGAACAAGGAGATGTCTGGAGAGAGGAGTGGGCTTTGGGGGGGAGCTGGTGAGAAGGAGGCTTTCGGAACAGCCAATATTTATAGACTATGACAGCAATGGCATTTGCAGATAAGGTTTGATATTAAGGGAAAATAGCAGCATTTGCTTCCCCAGCTACACACGGTATTTGTGCCAACAGCCTTCCCTGTCCCCTCCGGATCCAGTGAAGGCACCGTGCTGTCACCCCTCATGACTTTTGGTTGTTCTCAGAGACAGCGAGTGGGACAGTTTCATCCTTCCCAAGGCACCGACAGCCTCAGTGCTGCCTTCAGCATTCCCAAATGGGCAGCTCTGCGTGGAGCCTGCCTTAGCTCAAGTGGGTAGTGACGAGAGTGGACTTCAGTTCTGTACTGGAAGAACTGGAGCTTTGGCTTTGACATTGGCAATTGCTTATTCTACCACCCAGCCCTGGCGTGTGCCTTCAGCTAATGGCACCAGTGGCAGCAGGCAGCATCCCGGCGGGACCAGGTGCCCTCCCCAGGGAATGCCGCTCTGCTCTGTTTTCCCTGGCCCTCCCCGTGTCGATTAAAGCATCATAAGCTGAGGTGCCATATGTCATCTTTTCCTACAGCCTTTTTAAAGTGCGAAGAAGGAGACAAGTGTGCGAGAGGCGTCTCCACGCTCGGTACTGCAACATATGCTTGTCAGGAAGAAACTCAGCCTAGTAGAATACAAGCAACAGGTAGTGGGACGTACTGCCGGGCTGTTCCAGAGGCTTGGAAAGGGCAAGTGATGGCCTCCGAGCTGGCCCTTGGGACACTGGAACCCTGGCTCCAGCCAGCCCGGTGCTGGCTGCTATCAGCATAGCCCAGGATAGCACAGACCCAGGAGCAGCACAACTCACCAGCACAAACCATCTTCCTTCCTCCCTGTGAGGGTGCTGAGGCGCTGGCACAGGGTGCCCAGAGAAGCTGTGGCTGCCCCATCCCTGGCAGTGTTCAAGGCCAGGTTGGACACAGGGGCTTGGAGCAAGCTGCTCCAGTGGAAGGGGTCCCTGCCCGTGGCAGGGGTTGGAGCTGGAGGAGCTTTAAGGTCCCTTCAGCCCAAACCAGGCTGGGATTCTGTGATCTTTGCATCTCACTTGGCTTTGGGCCACTAAAATACACTGGCTGCAGGCTCCCCACTTGCCTGATGTCCCCTTTCTCCTTATCCTGTCTTGAGAACTTGGCTTTGTGCTCCACAGGCTCTGGAGCCACCACAGCATCCCACAGCCCTGCTTTATATAAGCGAGGGAGGGACCACGCAAATCTCCCTCCCTTCTGAGGCTTGTTTAATTAAAAGCCAGTTTTATGGTGCAGGCGCTAATTATAACTCCTCAGCCCCGAGGATCAAAGTGAACTTGTTGCTCATCGTTCCATAATTCAGAACTGCTGCGATGAGTTTGGACTGTTTCACAATGGCTCATCTCTCTAAATGCGCTTTGCTGGTGGGATTTTGTCTCACTTGAACTTGTTCAGCGCACTCATACGCAAAGGGAACTGCCTGGGGATATGTTCCTTGCAGAAAGCAGGGATGCTGATTCTGGAAACTATTCTGCTGGCGAGCGGTAATAATTATCCATGTGGTTTTTAATACTGCAGTGTGAGATATCCCAGGCAACCAAGCACTGCAGAGGGGGAAACTGCCCTGGGGAAACACCGAGCTCTTTCCTCTGGCAACAAGAGCAGTGGTTTGCCATGGGGGAGAGCTGTTGAGGCTTTGATTTGGTGTTTTCCTTTTGCCCTGTGACTTAGGGTTTGTTTTCCGTGCATGCTGAGCCTTTGGAGGCAAGCCCATGCAACAGGTTCTTCTGGCACTGGTGGGTGAGCGCTTGATGCAGGGCACCGTCTCCAATCACCACCCGCAGCGAGCACAAGAGGGTGTTTCACATCCTCCTCATTCCTTCCTCTGTGCTTCCAGGAGTGCCTGCCACGAGCCGCTCGTTCTGCTTCCACTGGGGAAGATGATGGGTTCGCTTCAGTTCATTACAAATCAGCGTCCAGGGAAATACTAAGCCAGGAATTCAATTCCAGCTACTCGCAGGATTGGCACAGGAGCGCATCACCCGAGTGCCTCCGTCTGAGGTGTCTGAAGGTGCTGTACCCTGAGCAGCTGGCAGGCAGCTCGGCTCCCAGCCCAGCGGGAGCTTCCCAAGCCCCCGGGCAGGGATGCTGGGTCCTGCTGATGGAGCAGGGAGCTGAGCTCTGGGTCACATCCCTGGACAACCCCTTCCTTCCCACTCGCAAGGAGCTTGCATTCAAGGGAGGAGAACCCAGGAAAGCTTGTTGAAAAGGTTGCAATCTATTAATAAGTAAATTGCTCATTTAATTATCTTAATCATGCTTTCACTGGGTTAACATTATTGCCAATACAAAGGGAAAAAAAGGTGAAAAGGGAAAAATTCTCCTGGATTAGCAAAGCCTCAATTACAGGCAAGTGAGTAGCACGGTTCATTTTAAAGGCTCTGTTGCTCCTTGTTGCACAGGCATTACTGGAAGGGATATCCATGGATATTGGGCTGGAAGGAGAGCTGGCTCCCAGCAGTACATGGATAAATGAGTCGAGCAGCTGGGCTTTTTTAAAGGACGCTTCTTCAAGGCGGGCGAGTGCTTCACATCCCTGGTCGCATCTTTACAGCAATGGCACCTTTGCTAACAACAGGCATTCTGCCTGAACGTGTGTGGAGGCATTTTCTCCTGTCAAGCTGTGGCCGTTTGCAGTTTAAAGGATGATAATGGGGGTTGGGTTTGGAGGATGAGTTATGGGCAGCGGGGAAAGCACGAGGCTTGGGAAAAGCAGAGAAAAGACAAACGTGCAGGGGATGCAGGCCGCCTCATGCCATATTCCTCCCCATGCACTTCTTCCCACCTCTACTTGATCCATGCTCATCCTGGGGAGGTGAAATAATAGGTAAATAATAGATAAACAGTAAGCACTGTGAGGGGTGCTTCTGGTGCCATTAAAGAGCAGCAACCCAAAACTGGCCAAACTTGAGGCACTCTGGAGCCCAATTTGCTGGAGGGGGGTTCTGGAGCAGCCAACAGGCACCACTGCTTCCACCACCCGTATTTCACTTGCTGGGAAGCTGGGTAATCTGATTTTCCCCAGCCCCAGAGAGAACAAGCACGTCATCCATATTCATCTGCTCAAATGAAAGCACGAGCCCTTGTTCCTTCGAGTGGAACTAACTGAAAAGTGATGATAGTTTTGTGAAAAATGCAAGATTATGTGCACAGGAGCAATTCTGTACAAACTGATTGATTATGGAACAGTTTGCTAATGAATGAGCCAGCTTCGGTCTGTCCCACCCAATTGCTGCCAGGAAAGGGGAGCCATGGGAAGGGATGGTGGAAAGGCGGCTGCGGGCCAGGCTGCAGCGGTGCACAGACCCCTTCAGCTCCAGATGCCTGCTCCCAGCCTGGAAGCATTCGCTGCATTTTACACTTCAGGAAGCCTTATGAAACATCTATAAATGGGAATAATTTGATTTTCTAATGCAAGCAAGCAACTGGCACTGGTGGAAAACGCGTGTTCCTTGAGCAGCGCTGGTGTGCCGGAGCAGCCGCACGGTGTCGAGCCTCCCATAAATGGAATTCCTCACTTTTAATGGAATTCCCAAACGTCCCAGCTCTGTTACTGCTATCAGCCCTGTCTGGTTTACACTGTTAGGTGTGGGATACGGCAGCACAGGTCCTTGGGAAGTGACAGCAGTGGTGACGTTTCTCTCAATACCTGTTGTGGTGCAACTTTAGAAATCATGGAATGGTTTGGGTTGAAGGGACCTTAAAGCTCCTCCAGCTCCAACCCCTGCCACGGGCAGGGACCCCTTCCACTGGAGCAGCTTGCTCCAAGCCCCTGTGTCCAACCTGGCCTTGAACACTGCCAGGGATGGGGCAGCCACAGCTTCTCTGGGCACCCTGTGCCAGCGCCTCAGCACCCTCACAGGGAAGAGCTTCTGCCTAAGAGCTCATCTCCATCTCCCCTCTGGCAGGTTAAAGCCATTCCCCTTGGCCTGTCCCTACATGCACATGTTTTTCACATCCTTATGACCCGTACAGGGTGCACGGCACGCAGGGATTTGGGATGAACTAAATCCAGGAAGCCTTTTTTATTGAGCTTGGTGGAAGATTTGTGCACAATGAAAGAAGTAATGAACACTGGCAAGTGCAAATAAGAGGAGGTTCATTACTTATGTTAAGCAGATTATGGATGTTACTTACAAACAGATTACATTTGTGTTAGTGGACAAGGAACTCGAGCTCCTCCACATAATGGGGTACATGGAATCACCTGTTGAAGCACCCCCACCCCAGCATGGAACAGGGTGAGGATTCCCAGCTGAGGATGGGATTCCGGTGGGAGCCTGGGCACGGTGAGTGTGGCTCCCTGGGGAAATTGAGCTCAGCTGCAGAGGAGCCTGCTTTGATGGAAGCTATAAATCACCTCATTAGAGGGCAAGGTGTCTCCTTTCTCTCTCTCTGTTATTCCAGAGCAGGGCAGCCTTTCTCTTCCTCGAAGTCTGCACGGCCAGGGAAAGCTGCGTTTCCCCCTATCTGCTTTGAACTGGCCTTAGACAAAGGAGGGAATATCTCACAAAGGGAGTGATAACAGCAGTGCCTCCCTGCAAACCAGGTCCTTGCTCTGCAGCAGAGCACCACCTTGCCCCATTGGATGCTGGTGAGGATGTTGTGGCCCTTGGGAATGTCGCAGCCCAGCCTGGCCAGTGCCTGGGCTTCTCGTGTGGGAGCAGAGCTTGGGAACAGGCAGGAGCAGACCAGGAAACAGCAGAACCGGTGAGCAAAGCATGGAATGGCAGGAGCGTGGTGGGACGGGTACTGGGTGTCATAGCCAGGCACACACTCGTGTCTCTGCTGGGTTTGAGCTGTGCTTCGTTGCAGAGGCACCAGGCGAGGCTGTATCTGCAGCCCCTTACAAGGGACCAATCAAGTCGTTTGCACTTTAGTTCTGTTTCCTCTTCAGTCAAGAGGACACTTTAAATGTCATGTAGATTACTCAAATTTGATATCTGCTTCCAGATCTCAGAACCAGGTTGAGGATGTCTTTTTTCCCCATGAGCTAATTTGCTTGTTCCTGAAGGAAGTGATGCAGGATCTTGTTAAGGGAAGCCTGCAGAGATTGTCTTTTGATTTGGGCAAACAGGAAAGCTGTCAGGCAGTAATCGGTGCAGTGGGAAAATGATGGGGGGCATTATCAGAGATGCATCAATTCCATTGGTATAAATGGGGACAGGTAAGGGGGCTGCTGATGTCTTGGGGCTCATTACTGGGGAAACAGGATTCCGTGTCAGTCAGGAGAACACATTCCCACTGTTTTAGTGGTCATCATGAACATGACAAGCAGCGTGGATGTGACTTGTTCCAGGGCAGGGACCCTCAGATGCAGCTGGGTGGGCTTATGCCATGAGCAGACATCTCCTCTTGAACCTTCGCGTTAAAAAGCTCTTTCAAGAGCTGTTGGCAGCAGGTATTCAGATGTCTCAGTGGGAAGACTTTCTGCAGAAGCTGCGTAGGTTTAGGGGGAAAAAAGCCCCATCACGTTCTTGAATAGGTATTGCAGATGAGGCGCTTCATTGCATTACCCTGTGTAAACCAAGAAAGCTACAACGAGGGAAATTGCCGCTGCAAGCCGCGGTGGTTTGACATGCAAATGACGGCTTTTCTTGTGCTGATGGAGCTGCCGGGGCTTTAGTTTTACACCAAGTGCTCCGTTCCGTGGCTGTCCCGCAGCCCTGTTCCCACTGCTGCCCAGCGGCTCCCGGGTCGGCGGTAGTTTGCTTAACCACCGCTGTTTGTGATCTATGGGAGCAGGGGAAAAGAATCCCGACATGCAGGGGGTTACTTCTGAGCCTGAGCGCCGGTGTCTGCTTTACGCGAGGGACGGAATTTCCTCTTTTGGAGGTCTCGCTGTGCGTTTTGAAGTTATCAGTTGTTTCCATAGGCATGTGCTGAGTGCACAGGGTCAAGGAGAAAGGGATCTGCTGGATGGACGGTGCCCAGACACGTCCAGACTGAACAATAGGTGAAGCCGGGTCTTGCTCGTGGGCCTGCTGTGTGTCATCACGGCTGAGAGCTGGCTGAGCCCCCAAGGTGCCTGCGCAAGGGCAGAGTTTCAGAGTTTAAAGGTAAGCTGTGACCCCGCTGCTTGCCAGTGTGATGCTTTAAGGCTCTAAAAATAGAGCATCTCCAGCGGAAGAAAGGTATTTTTGGAGAAGCTTGTTACTGCAGCCAATCGCACGTCATTACCGAAGCCTTCCTTTCGTTTCCTTCTCCACGTAAACCTTGGCAAGTGCCAAGAAAGAGCCGACGTGCACCCTTGTGTAGCGGCACCCCTGGAGGAAGGGATGCCTTCATCCCCCTTCCTCACCCTCCCCTGGCAGGAGTGATGCTGGTCCACATCCAGTGTGGCTGCAAGCCTTAGCCAACCCCAGACCATATTGTGTGCCTGGGGACATCAAACCTGGCCAAATACCTGCCTGTGCCTTGGCGTGAGGGCCCAGGGGAGCAGTGGGGGTCAGGGTGATGTGAAGGGCAGAGCATGGTGGGGATGTGCAGCGCCGTGTCCCGGCTCCCCACCAGCCAGCCCCACATGGGGTGCTGCGCTTGCAGAAGCGAACTAATGAGCTGCTTGCAATCAGGGAGGAGGGCGGGATGTGGTGGAGCCCCAGGAGATGCAATTAGTCCTCACTTCACTCCAGGCACTGCCATGAAGCCTGATTTGAGCCATCAGAAAATCTGATCCTGGGGGGTCAGGCACGTACCCCTTAATGAAGTGATGGGAATGCCCCTGGCAGTTTATTTACCAAAATCACTGCTCACAACAGGCTTCGAGAGGGACTCCAAGTACAGGGAATGCTGAACTAGGGTAGAAAGCTGCTCGCAGGGAGCAGGCACGGGGTGTCTCATTCTTTTTGTAAATGAAGAAAGCTCTTGGCTCCCAGCAGGCAGCTCACACCAGCTTCGCTGTGTCTCCCTGACAGTGATGGAGTCAGCCTTGGATGTCTCTTACAAGCAATGAAATTGATACCCTTCTTCATTAGAAGGGCCATACCCAACTGCTTCCCAAAAGGTGAACATGAACGTGCTGATTTCCTGTTGTTAGACACGTGTTTCAGCCTCAGAGCTGCAAAGGTGAGGGCCGGAGGGAGGAGAGTGCAGCTCTAGAGTTTGGTACCCAGTGTTGGTGGAGGGAAGCACCTCTGGTGAGGCCTGATCCTGCAGGAAAGGTTGTGCCATGGCAGCTCCTGGGTCAGACCACTGTCTTGAGCCTTTTCAATGCCACAAAAGGGGAGAGGAACCTTCACGGGTGCAGCCTCATCATCTGTGTGGCATTTACATGTAATTTGTGGCCGGTATCTCTCTGCTTCCCTGGTAGAAACCGCATTGTTGGCTCCTCAGCTTCTGTGGCAGCTCTGTCAGAGACATTGAAATGAATCAGTTTGAAGTGAGTTCCCAGAGCACTTTTACTGCTGATTTATCCATGTGGCAAGATGCTGCATGAGTTACGCTGGAGGGAGGAGGAGGAAGGTGAAGTTGAGGTGGCCTGGCTGCCCGCACCATCCCATAACCAGAGTTTAAGCATCTCAGCAATGCCCCCTGCCCACACTCAGGATCCAACCGAGTTCTCTGTGCCTTAAGTTTTCCTTTTCTTGTTTCAACCATGTCCTAATTGGGAAACCAGGGAAAGCCTTAAAAAAAGAAACCAAACAAACAAAATTAATGAGCAGCACCAGGGGAGGGGGAAAAGCATTTTTTGGCCAGAGTCCTTGGCACAGGGAGGGAAGAGCTGCTCCTCTTGGAGAGCATTTAGTCCCTGCAAGCTGCCAGTGGAGGAAGTCAAGTGAAAACCAAGCGACTGGAAGCTGAGTTCGCTGCAGCCTCCCTCTGCTTTGCTCATTTAGTGCCTCAGCCTTAGCAGTGAGTACTTGGATGTTTATTCCCAGGCTAAATTGCTTTGGGAGCTGTGACTCCTTTGTCAGCGAGAGAGAAAACAGCCTGCCCATGGGCTAACAGCCTTCACAGCTCCTTCCCCTGGCTGCTTGGGCTCGCACCACAGAGGCCTGCAGTGAGCATCCTCAGGCACCACGCCGACCAAGCCCTGCCGCAAGGACCTGGCAGCCAGGCTGTGGGTGACAGCAGGGATGAGCATCCCTGGGGCTGGCTGCTGTACTTCCAGTTCCAGGCATCCCACAGAGCATCCCACAGGAGCAGCCTGAGCTTCTACCCTGCTCCTTGGCAGCCAGGCAGCCCAGACCTGTTTGCCAGCATGGAGAAGGGCTTCTGGTGCTGGCAGATGCAGGAGGCTGATGTGCATGGAGCCACATGTTGAAGCCATGGGAATAGGTCTGTGCATCTGAGACTGTCAGAGCTCAAAGCTTCCCTGTTCCTCCAAGCAAACCTCAGTGGTGCTCACACAAATTAGGATCTGTTTGATATAGACCAGAGCAAAGTGAGTGTTGGTAAATCTGCAGCAGTTTATGTACACAGCTCTGGTTTACACAGGGGTTGTGTGGCAGCTCCTAGTACAAGCCTCTTCCCTTTGCATAGCCCCCCCTGTGCAACTGGGGGTCAGTTTTCTCACCCTTGGGTTTGGTTCCGTCTGGCCAGTGTCTATTTGGGGGGTTTCTGGCCTCTCTTTCCTGTGTTCCCTTTCCCCAGCAGCACTGCATTTCCTCCCAAGCACTGAGCAGCAAACACTTTCCTTGTGGGCTGCATGGAAAACTCATCCTTGTACGGCTCATCCAGCCTCATCTTCACCCTCAATGGCTGCTTCACAAAGGTAGGAGGAGGTAACTCACCAGTTCTTGCTAACTCTGTGAAAGTCCTCGCTCCTTGTGCTGATGTGTCCTTCCCCTTTTTCTCTATGCACCATCCCAGCTCTCTAGAGCTACCAGCAGTTTCTGGATGCTCAATTGCCTTTTAGCAATGGTCCTTCTCAGTCGAACTTTAGCCCTGAAGTTTGGGGTAGGAAGAACAGTTTTCTTGCTCTGGCATGAAGTTAGGAACCCAAATGGAGACATTTAATGCTTCACAGGCGTTATTAGAAACAAAAAAAGCATCGGGAAGAAACCATGCCATAAATCCAGGCCTTTCTGTAAGCTTTAAATCTGTTAGACCATAGTCTTCTGAAACAAAAGTGACTGCACCAAATAGAGATTGTTATTGTTTAAATGTTTCTGCTGGGAAATGCTGCATGAAGAGGAGACACAATAGCTGCCCTGACGCAGGATTTATTAGAGCAAGTTGGCACCAGCCTATTTGTAGGCAGCGGAATATGCTTGTAGAGATTATACCAGATTTACAGTGATTAATAATGGATTGGACATGGCAGACTTCAAAGGGTTTGGCTCCCTCGCAGTTTGGTGGTGGGTTGAGTTGAAATACAGCTGCAGATTCGCTCCAGTGGCTCAAACGACTGTTTTTAACTCGGAGAGGGAGGCTTTGGGCTGGCTACATCGGCAAAGCCCTGTTCCGTGTCCCCTTGTCCCCCTTGGTTTACACAGGCAGCACAACGGATGCCCCTGCACCGGCCAAAACCGGCCTGAGGCAACTGCTGGGGAAGGTGAAGCCCTTAATTATGGGCAAGGTTCTTGGAGATGGAGCCGGGAGCTCATACCGGGGGGATGAGTGGGGATTTTGTCATCAGTCTGAGGGATTAAGCGAGCTGGGGAATGTAGGACATCCCTCTCACCCACCCGCAGTGGCATCCGTGCACAGACCTCGGGCTATTTTTAAAGACCTTCTCTGGCTGTAACTTTTGGTATTAAACACTTGAAACCTGCTCCTTGCTGAGGGAGCTCCCTCTCCCCCTGCATCCGGAAGCTCCCAGGGCTGAGGGCAGGATGGCAAACAAAGATCGAGGCTCTGAACGCTGGTAATAGTGTTATTAATTATGCATCGTTATAAACATGCTCTCATTTGATCTCTGTCAGGCAATTCAGTGGTGTTCTGCGTGTGGCTGTGACTGTGCTCTGCCCAGCCGCATCCCTTCTCTTTCCCTGTCTGCTCGAGCACTCGGGGATATGTGTGTTCATACAGGATCTCTCAGATGAGCAAAGAAAAGGCCAGGGCAAGCGTGAGTTGCTGGGGAGCCTCAGACAAATGTATTTCCTGAGTGATAGGTGCTTCGGCGTTAATCAGGTGTTACTGTGTGTTACAGTTGGGAGGCATCTTGGGCTAATGGAGACGTTTCCCCTCTATCTGCTGGAATCTGGGCGTCTGGAAGCAGAGGAGCTCTCATCCCGCTCCAGGCGGGGCTGATGGGATTTGCACCGGTCCCAGTTGCCATGGAGAAAGTGTTGGATGGTTTTAATACATCTCTGTGAATTTCTCCCCGGAGTTTTCCCATGGCAGGCTGGACCGGAGGTAGTGTATAAGAAGCTATAATCTTCCAACTCTATGAAAAAATGATTGATGGAGCATGAGGGGCACAAACAGCTGCCTAGGGCTCTGGGAGCACACGGTGCAAGGTGATGGGTACCGGGATAGACCCCTGGACCAGGGATGCACCATGCAGCCATGAACCCCCCCTGCCCCACACTTCTACCTCAGCAGGGCTGAGCTCCCCACCTTCCCACCAGCAGGCATTCCTTAGGAGTTAAGGAAATGAAACCTCTTGTTTTCGCATCGGTGTGTTTCCATTTGAAATCCTAACATTTACATTTGCCTGTTTGCTTTTGGAGTTAATGAAAACACAAGTGATTTCTAAACGCAAAACACAGCACTGGTTTCCAGCTCTGTGTGCCAAGCAGTGATTCACTCACCTGCCCAGGCTTTCACTTGGGTTTTTTTTCCCCCCCTGGATTCATTACCCTGCCCTGCCTTTAACCATCATCAGGCACAGAGCGTGATGGGATCAGGTAAAGCGGAGCTGATGTTTTCAGCGAGAAAGGAGACGGCAGAAGAATGAGGAGGAGCAGAGAGGGAAGGGCTGGCTGTCAGAACCCACGGAGCCTTCTGGAAACATCGGGAGCAAGACCAGGATGGTGAGCTTGGGAGCCGGCTGCTGTTCGGTCAGTGCCACCTCCTTCCTCTTCCTTTCCCCCTTTTGATTGTATTATTTGTACCCTGCTCCAGCCCCAGTGGTACTCGGAGCTGCTTTAGATTCTCTGAACATCTTCCCTTTGACAGCTCGTGGGCTTTTGAAATATGAAGTCCATCAATCACCGGTTGCTGTCACCTCCACGGTAGATTCCGCTTCTTGAAGCCAGGCGCAGCGCAGTGAGGGGTGGGACTGCATGAACGGCTGCTGCCAATGCCAAAACCCAGGACCCAGCTCCTTGTCCTCTCCTTTGTTTTCCAGGGATTCCAGTGAGGCTCGGAGGACGATCCCCATGGAGTGCCATGGGGAGGTTGCACAGCGAAGCGTGCGCTTGAGCGGATACACCGGGGCTAAAGAGTAATTAATTAGTGAGTTTATGGTGTTTTCCCATCTGAAATGAAAAACAAGAATCATGCAGAACATTTAGGCAATTAGGAGGCAGCAAAGCTACAACGCACCTTTAAAGGGCTCCGAAATCATCGTGTTCAGCAGCAGGGTTTTAACGTAGCAGCTGATAAAGGCTCATGCCCTTGATCGCATGAGGGGAGCACTCACCACGCTTTGCCCTTCATGTGCATCCAGGAGCGCCCGAACTCTTCCTGCTCCGTGATCACATTTCCCATTTAAAATCTGTTGGCCAAGATGGGAAAATTGGTTTGTGGTTTATGGGCCTAGTTTAGTTGTTTTTTTTTCTCCCCTCGCATTTACAACTGGCCCCTTGTGTTCCATCCGCCCCCGATGATTTAGCTGCGCGAGACGTTCCACCAATCTATTAGAGTGGAGAGCACGGAGCGGGTCATGCATATTAAACGTGAAGTTTTTAATACAGTTGGTTCAATCAGCTGAAAGAAAAACATGTTCGGTTCCCCCCCCCCATCTTTTACAGCATCCCAGCTGCTGCTTTTGGCAGGGCCATTCCTCAGTGGTGTCCAGGGATCTGACTGCAGGGCAACGATGCCCTGTGGACCAAGGGCATCCCCTCCCTGCCACTGCGCTGGTAAAGGTACCTTGGAACGCGCATTGCCTCTCTCAGTGTTGATCCATATGGCTCTCCCTTGGCACTAGAAGCTGAAAATCCTCATTTTACCTGGTTTTCCTTTCGGCCAGGTCCGCAGTGCCTGTGGGTGCCATCCGCCCTTGGCTACCCTCACCTAAACCTGCACAGAGGCTTGAGTTTCCCTCCATGGTGCCTTGTCTCCTGCATGTGTTTCCAAAGGCTCCTCGTTCCTGCATGGGAGGTGAAGGCTCATTTTTGGGGTGGTGAGGGCAGCCCTGGTGTGTGGGCGTGCACGTTATTGGTTTGCTTCAGTGCCTGTGATCAATACAAGGGTAATTTTCTGTGTCTTTGGAGCAGTTTATTGGGTTTCTGGAGTGCTCGTTTTCCAGAGTAATTTCTCCAGCTTGTCCAAGCCTCTCATCGTGCCTGTGCTAAGTGACTTGAGGGCTATTTTCTACTCCACTTTGTTGCTTCTGTTTTATTTTCTGGTAGGCTTTAAATTTACATTGAAGTGTCTTTCTGTTCCGTTTTGCTGACACGGGCACAAAAAGAGCCACCTTCCCATCACCTGGGCACCCCAGTGAGGCATCATTCTCCTGGGCAGCCTGCTTAGCTCCAGGGGTTTATGCTTCCTGCATCCCAAACCCTGTTCCTCTGATCGCTATTGCCCTTCACTGGGGCAGTGCTGGGGCTGCAGGATGCCATGTCCCAGAGCTGCGCTGGTCCCAAGCCCCTCTAAAACCCAGTAAATCAAAGGATGCCCCATGAGCGGGAGGGAGGGAGGAGAAAGCCTCATCTTTGCAGATGACATTTAAGCCTGCAGAAGGCCGATGTATTTTCCCCACTGTCACATTTAAAAGGCACGGCATTCATTATACTGCTGAATAAATCGGGTTTTTAAGAACATATTTATTCAGAGATGAGCCAGTCAAGAACTTCTCCTGTTTGGACAGAAGCTTCCAGTGCAGGAGTGAACAACCCACTGCTCTCCTTGCAGCTGGTGCTCAGGCCCTTTCGCAGGAGCCAATGCTGAGGACTGACAACGCTCCAAAGTGCTCACACCCCTTCACTGGTGATGGCTGCAAAGGGTTAAGTGGCTGAGAAGGAGCTTGGTAAATCAGGCAGGAAAATAATCAGCTCCCAGTTGAGGTGAGGAGATGCTTGGTATTTTACAGCTGCTTTCATACACTTTACAGAATCTAATGGTTACACAAATAATACCTGGGGGATGATAACAGGCTATAAATAATTCAGGGTTTTCTGAACACAGGCAGGTTTGAGGAGCTCCTGGGGATGGCTCCTTCCCAAAGGTCCATGGGGAGCAGTGGCCTCTGGCCATTCCAGCAGCCCCTGGGGCCATGTCCCTGTGTTTTCCCATCCCTTTGCACCCACCTCACCCACTCCCCTGGCTGCTGGGGTGGGTACCAGTGATGCTCTTTGCGGATGGTGCTGTGAGAAGCCATGGGTCGTGGCCATGCACACGCAGGGCTGTGGCTCTGCCTGCCTCTGTGGCACCACTTTTCAGGTTATTTGAGGCCTTCTGAGAGCCATTGTGCAGAATCCCCCATCTGTGGATGCGGTGGATTCAATTTACCTCTGCTGCTAAATGTTTTGACAGCCTCTCTTCTTCCAGCCTAGCGCAGCGTGTCACGTTGTATGGTAACAGCCCCTGCCGCGGCACACGGTGTGCTCCGTGCTGGCACGCTGCGTGCTCCCTGCACCAGAACAGGGGGAAACATCCAGGCTCAAAGCCCTGAGGTGGGAAAGGGGGGGGGCTCACCCTGTATCCCCCCAAAAGATCCCTAAGTACAGATCCCCTGGCTGGTCAGTGGATACCTCAGCACTGAGCGCACAAACTCCTTCCTCCCTTAATGAGAACAGGACCAGCAGAGTTGGTGGCAGGACCCGCAGCTCAATCGGCCAGGAGAGCAAAAACCTTCCACGCTGCCATTTGGAAAGGAGTTTTTCCTCGGCCCGTTTCTCAGGGTGCAATTGATCTGTCTAATCTCTTATCTGTGACTATGAAATTGTATTTCCCTCTTAATAGGCCTACAGATGTTACAGATGAATAGGTTGGGAGATGCGCTGTGAATGGCAGGAATACTAAAAAGGGACAGCAGGTTTTGCTGGCTTTGGGGTGAAGAAACCAGCATGCAGGAATGGCTGCAGCCCCACTCCTTGAGGATCTGCCTCAAACCCCCACATCTGTGCCCAATCTCTGCTTAAATCAGGCCGGGGAGGTCTCGAAGAAGCTGTGTTTAAGTTGAGGCATCACAAAGCTGTCCTGTCCCCTTGTCGCCTTGTGTCTGCACTGCAAAGGCAGAGGAGGTGGTGGCAGACCCCACTCTTGCTCTGCAGATCAGAGTTTCCCATGTGGAAAGGTACCGAAGCCTGGTTTTTGGGTGCCTCAGCCCTTTCAGCTCCTTATTGGAGCAGCTATTGCTGCCTTCAGGGTGGCAGAGGGGGCTCTCAGTGCCTTTGCCCTCTCCTTTGCGCTCCGCAGCTCTGTCAGTCGGGTTTTCCAGTTTCCCTTGCTTTGGTATTTGGGTTGCAGAACTGAGCTGACAAAGTCCTTTTAACCTTCGTTCCTGCCTGACAGGGGCTGCCTCGCTTGGCGTGGGTGTGATGTGCTGATGAGAAGTGCCTGCAGCCCTGTCCATCCCCTCCGCTTCCATCACTGGAGAGGTTCCTGGGACCGAAGAGATGAGGTGAAGCAGAGACGTGAAACGTTCAGTGTGGGGCCCCCGCGATGAAGCTGTTGGATGGATGAATATGGAGTGGCTGAGGTGACCTTCTCAGGAGGTGATGGATGCTCTGCCTGTCCCCTGCATCCCTGGTGCCTGCCGAAGGGATGGAGCCCTTTGCAGGACAGCGCTCGGCAAAACCCCCACCAACGACAGGGTGCTCGTCACCAAACCACCGCTGTATGTAGATCCATGGGATTAATCGCTTTATCATCCAAATACAGGTGGATTAATGCACTCTCTTAATACTCTGTTTAAGCAGCTGATTTTTTAAAAAGCTGAATAATTGGGGGGAATTACTGTAAAATCAGAAAATTTAACAGTTTATTTACTGCTTATTGTCAGAGCTGATGGCCAAGAAAAGCCGGTAGGTCCACACCACGGCCATGGCCCAAGGGATGGCCAGGACCTGGGGAGGGATGGCAGGGATCAGGGGGATGCTGGTGTTATGTAGCCCTGGCTGTGGAAAACAGGCACACCAAAAGCAGCTTCCTCTGTCTCCCTTTTAGCTGCTGAGGAAGTGTTTGCAGTGATTGCTCCGGCTGGTGCAGCCAAGTCCTGTTATCAAAACAAGACTGAAAAAGCAAGGAAATAATTAAAAAAACCCACCCTGAGGCACTGTTATTTTCTCTGGATAAAAACACTTCTTTTGGTAGAAGTGGCAGCAAAACACTTTCATCTCAGCCCCCCTCTCTGTAACAGCCCATCTGCTAAGGCAAATCTGGTGACCGCGTGCCTCATGTTGTGACTGTGCCCGATGACTCGGGAGGGGTTTGGGGCTCAGCCCCTGGCTCTGGCATTAATGGGCAAAGGCATTGCTGTAACAGGCCCCGATGCTGCGAGTAGAGGCAGCTCCTCCACGCCGTGTGGTAGCAGGAGATGCATCCTTAGGATAAAACCCCACTTCCTCGGCATGAAGGAACCGCAGCCATTGCCAAACAATGGGGTTTATGCCCTTTGTATTAGAAGGGAATGGGACAAAAATCTCCTGTCCCCCCTTCTCAGACAGCAAGAAGGGGATGCAGGAAGATGGTTCCTTGCGGATGCCTGCCCAGGGCATGGACTTTGTTGCTGGAACCAAGGCTCCGGGTCCACCGCTTGCTCCAGAAGCCTTTTGGTCTCACCACAGCGCAGCCATGGAGTGGGAACAGGCTCCCAGAGCCGTGGCTGAGTCTCCTGCCTGGAGTGAGCAGGGAGGCGTGAAAATCCCTCTGTCATAGGAAGAAGTGAGCTTCATGTCCTCATGTTTTAATACAGGAAATGTCACCTGCTCCTCTCGTAAACAGAGAATTTATCTGTCAGCAAGCTAAACCAGTGTAAGTTGAATAATATTTGGTGATTAATGTAGTCGACAGATTTCATATTTCCTTTAAAATATTTGCTGCGTATTTCTGTAAATTATTCATCTGCTTTATAAGGCAAAGCAAATATTTGTGAATAGATATGAATTACGTGATTTACAAGAATGAAATATTCATGAGTCGTTTTCATTATTCACCTCGTCCTGGAATTGCTACATAAATCTGATCAAGCAAATAGATTTGGAGAAGCTCAGACTGAATTTACGGGTATCCCGGCGCTCCTGAGGCACCAAACCGGAGCGGAGCCGGACCAAATCTTGTGCTCCACCAAGGCTGCTCCGTTCGGCATCCACAGCTTCCAGGGCAGGCAGGGATGCGGCGGTGGCTGAGCCTCATGTGGAAATCAGCTTTAACCTGGATCTCAGCAGAGACAAGGGCAGGAGGAGGAGGCTGATGCTTTCCTTCCCTGCCAAGGACGTCAGTGCTGCTGAGAGGTCGCACAGCACCGCAGGGAAGGATGCCAGGAGAGGGGTTTTGAGGACTACAGCGGGAGCATCAGCCATGCAAAATGAGAGGAAAACTGGATGAAGAGCCCTGTGCACGGCTCTGAACCCGCGCTTCCAGGTGCCCTCTGCCAGCCTTTGGGCTCAGCGTGGGAGCACCATCATCCTTGTGAGTGCCCCTGGCATCCCGGACCCCTCTCTTCCAGGCTGCTGGGCTCATGTGGCTGCAGGATCTGAGCTTCAGGAGGGCAGGTTTTGCCCTCTGCTTGCTCCCTCTGACCGCTGGGGAGCCCTCTCCTTCCGAGAGACCAGCTTCTCTCCACGTGCATCCTCCAGAACCTCATCGTTTCCCCCCCTACCTCATGAAGGACACGCTTGATGAGGCACATTCATCTCAGCCTCTACTCTGGCATTGTGAGATGAGGACAAGCATGGAACATGTTGACGGCAGAGCTGTGATCCCAAAGGAGAACCCTGGCACAGGGGGGAACAATGGGACCCATGGCCACAGGTCCCTTGGTGCCAATCTTGGTGTTAAAAACTTCATTAAGCAGGTGCTTAACGTGTAAGGATGCGAGCAGTGCCTCCAACTACACTGGGACCCTGGGTGTGTTTAAAGTTAGATGCTTGTTAAGCTCTGTCAGGACCCGAGCCGCCCGGTGCTTGCTGCTCCTCACAATGAGCTCTGCTTTGTGGGAAGCTGCAAAACGAGCCCTCAAAAACTCCTCTTTGGGGACCTTCCTGTTTAACAGAGTGTTGATGTGCTTTCTTTTTAAATAGCTAGCTGCCACACAGGAAATAGACTGCTCCATAGATAGCGTTATACATCTTCTGCCACCCGGGTGTTTTGCTCAACACTGCGCGGGGATGTCATAAAAGCCATGTGCTTAGCCAAGTGGAATTGCTGACTCTATTACCCTGGCCAGAGAAAAATGCCCATCTTCTCCCTCCCTCGTATCCATCAGGAAGGGGCCCTCATGTATGGCTCATCCCACACCTGCAGCCAGAGCGCAGCAGCCTGAATGAAGTGGAAACTCTTTGGGGATGCAGAACCGGAGGCTGTGGCATTGGCAGGGCAGCCAAAGGACCTCATGCCCAAGGTGAGGGGTGGGTGTGTGGGGATGGCCAGGCCATGGGGCCAGTGACCACACTGAAGAAGGACAAAGGGACTTTGGATCCCAGGCTGTTCCCTCTGCACTGCTGGCTCCCCGCACACTTTCTTGCAGTGCCTGTCCCAGAGGTCACATTGCAGCCTGCAGGGTGGCAGCAGCAGCAGCAGTGATGTTTTATCCTGGCCGAGGCAGCTCCTGAGGTGTCTCACTAAACACCAGGCTTGTTCAACCGTGGGATGGCATTTTTCCCCTTGCCGGCTCTGGAGTAGTCACGGAGAAGTCGTTTATCAGCACCGTGTGTGCAGCCAATCTCCAGGGCTCTGCTTCACCTCCCGCTATCTCCTGGCTCCACTGCTCTTAATGAAGCAGTGATTTTGAGGCGATGGTCTAATGACTTTGAGGAGGTTTTGACCCTTTTATTGCAACATCTCAAATATCAGGTGCCTGGAAAATAGTTTTAATGTTGCATAGACAATTATGGGCTGATGTATTTATTCTAGGCATCCTGCTCTGAGGTGTTTCACCGAGCTTTGGGACAGCAGCCAGCAATCTGGAGTAGTGGGGATTCAGCAGATAAGGCTTTTCCTTGTCTCCATTTGGTGCATTGGCCCCATTGGCCATGGGGCACCAAGAGCCAAAGCCTCCCAGACCCGAGCTTTTAGTGGGTTAAAACCCCACAAGGTTTTAGGAAGCAGATGGAAGGGGATGCAGGGAGGCCATGGATGCAGCAAGGCCACTGGAGGCAGTGAGCTGGAGTTCCCCAGCCCGGCCGACAATGGGAGATGTTTCCTTGCTTTGACTCCAGCTCAGTAACAATACATGGGTTTATAACAGAGAGAAATTGCCCCCTCGGGTGAGCACAGCAGGAAACACACCCGCCAATATCGGCCCATGTTTGGCTGGGGTTTTTTCCCTCTGGCTCTATGTGGTCTCGACAAAATGAAGCAGAGCACAACAGTGAGGGACCTGAGCTCGGGCAGTGCGCTTTGCACTTGGTTTGGATAACACAGCGTTTTACATGAGCAAGTCAAGGGTTTGGTGAGTTAGAGGCGACCGAAGCATTCAAGGGCAAGGCAGTAAATTGTTCCTTGTTCACAAGAGAGGCTCGGGCTGTGTCTGCAGTGCATCGCTGCTCTGGGGCCAGGGGATGCTCCTGGAGTTATAGCAAGTGTATCTCAACAGATAGAGGATCCCAGTGTCCTGCATCCACAGGCAGCACAAGAGCAGCTCATGGATCTCTTCAAGTTTCTTCTTCTCCCCCATCCACTTTGCCAAAGGACTTTGTTCCTCAGGCATTTGTTCTTTAAAAGAAAACCAAGATAAAAATCTCCAGTCTTCCACAGGACATCAATTGCTGCTACTTTAGAGCATATAGGGCTGGTAATTACGTTTTTGTTCAGCAGCTGATAGACTGGAAACTGCTTTTAACACTGAAAAGGGAGGAAGAGGCGCCTGTCTCCAGATACCATCAGGTATTGTCCTCAAGCACTGGGAAGGCACCTGCCTTCTCCTGGAATCCCATAACAAGGGCTAAGTGGTGGCCTCAAAGCCCTGCAGCAGCCCTGGAGGCACAGGGCCTCTTCCCCCTTTCCCTCCAGACCTGCTTGTGGCAAATCCATTCCCAACCATTCCATGAATCCTCCTGGCCACCCCTTGCTGCCTCCTCACACAGGACACTGGGTTTGCCAGCACCAAGGAACAAACACAGCCAAAGCCATCATTAGCTCTTGTCAGCTGTAATTTTAAGGTCTGTTAAATAAGATTTAAATATTTTTTTTACTCATTAGCAGTAATTTCGGATGATTCTCCCTCTTTAGGAAACTTCAAGTGTGATTGTAATAGTTTTGTAATTTGGGGCTCTAGCATTAAAATTAATGATGTCCTAATGCTCTCCGTGCACTAGAAAAGTCTGATCAGTTTTGTCCCCTTTATATATCATTACTAATAGAACATTTTAATGGCTGTAATTTCCAGCCCTGTAGATTGGGACCTAAAAATAGGAAGAAAGCCTATTTCATCACACCATGCCAGCCGCTAAATAATTCAATTACACAGACCGGAATATCTGAAGCTGGGTCTGTTGCCAGCTGCAGATAACCAAAAGTACTTGATATTACTTTTAGAGCAGGGCTATTACGAGGTCTCACCCTGTGGCCCCTGACAGGGATGCCAGCGTGCAGCCACCAGCCATGTCCTCATGCAGCCATCAGGGATGCCATCAGCTGGAGATGCTGCTGGGGTCTGGTCACATCCTGCCTCTGGAGCAGAAGGGCTCCAGAGACTCTTGGGTCCCAAGTACATCTCTCGGATCCCCAGTGTGGCGATGCCGAAGACCCAGTGCGTGGTTCGGTTTGTCTCTCCCGCTGAAGTTTGGGTGCCAAAGGGAATTTGTTATCACCTGAAGAGCAACATCTACAGCAGCGAGTGCAGAATAATCCATGAATTTCAAATTGGCAAGAGCAGGCTGAGTAAAACAAGTTCTGATCCTTCGAAGAAGCTGATTTACAGTGCATGAGCCCTGACCCTGTCGACACTTTCCCTGCCAAAGGAAGCAATCATCTGCTTCCAGCCCTCTGCTGAAACACGGCAAAGGAACTTTCCCTGTGATATGCTGTGTTTCAGTTACCCTACCCAAGCGCCTTGCCCAAATTCCTAAGTGATTCCAGGTGTGTTTTGTTACAAAGCTGCTGGCGTTCATCAGGCAGAGGGGGTTTTTTGGGGGGGACAAGAGGAGGGATGGATGGATGGATGGATGGATGGATGGATGGATGGATGGATGGATGGATGGATGGATGGATGGATCTGTTGCTCTGTTCCCAGCAGGGTGTTGTATT